CTATCCGTTTACAGTCGCTCGATGGGTCATTCATGCATTAATGTGAGTTAAAACCGTTGTCTTCCAACAATGACTTCAAAATTTCTTTCAGTAATGTGATTCAAAGCCACATTGTTGCACAATTGTTTCCCACTGACACCCAACTATGGTTCCAACAATGGAGTTGATTCACGCGGACAAGACGTGATCAGATCCTTTGCTTCTACTAAACCAAATGAAGCTAAACATTTGTGACGTCATTTAGTGAGAAATCAGAAACATTCTCGTGTTATAAATATTATATATATCTGTACTTTTTAACATATATTTCTCGCTGAAAAAAAAGTAGGTATCATAAGATTCTGTATCTTATAACATACGAATATAAATGTGTTGATGATCCTACTTTTCAACATTTAAGTAACCTAAAAAAAAACATGGCGGATCTTTTCAAGATTTTACAAAAACAATTTCTAACTTTCACTCTTTACGTGGAAGCTATTGGCTTGAGAAAGCAACTGTGTAGCCGATAATTCGAGGTTTTTACTCCGATGTGGATTTAGAATGTGATATTCCGAGTTGATCTACGCTGTGAACTCTTCAGATCGAATCATGTCTTCACGAAACATTAAACGCTATCGGAACCGGCTAGGAATACGTATCACCTTAAGTATTTTTACGACATTCTCAGTTGACCTTGGACCTTGAATTACCTGTCTTGTGTCACGTCCTGCTGGCAATAAAACCATTATAAAGACTCCCCAATACCAGAAAGAAAAAAAAAAGTATTTCCTCGAACCAGCTGTATTCTCTGTCGCACAATTTAATTAAGAGGAGATGAGAAATGAATTTGTGAAGATCTCATGTAGGCATTGGTATCGATAAACTCAGCGCTGACTTGCATTAAAATCAGAAGGATATGCATTTGACTCCAGACAGATCAGAGGTTAGTTCTTGCACGTGTTTGAGCTTTTATGTCGCGAACAATGCTTCATCAGGAGTCTTACGCGTGTACAATTACGTAATCAACTCTCCGGTAACAGACCAAGAAGTTCCGGTCTCCCCTACACCCACAACATATTCTCCCCTAAATATATCTACTTCTTGGTTTTTCAAATGGACGATTTGCGAGATTTACAACCAGAAAGACTTAAGATAGAGACTGTAAACTAGCCTCTAAAATATTCCCACCTAATCACTATTAAAAGTTTCATTTTTTTTGGGATTTCACTAAATATATCTTTAAGAACAATAAAATTTTGACAGATTAATTTCTTAAACACCTGTAATTTTTTTTGCAGAAGAATAGTTTATATAACTAGCTATTCACTTCTTATATTCTGTCAGTTGTTTAACGATGGTGTATCATAACCTTTTCAGGTCCTGACCTTGTACATATAGACGAAGGGCAATTTTAAAAAGCCTGCTTATGGTAACACTTAAACCTTACGCTTCGTCTCGCTTGCAGGCTTGTTAATCTATTCTACGTCCCGAAGAAATACGATTATGTTTATAGAACTCTGGACCTGACAGATATTGTGCTCGATAGTTTGAACAAAGTTCAAGTTAACCTCCTTATAGCTGTATTTCATACCACTGAATGAAAGACACTACATGAATCGACATTTCTGCTGCATTATTTTACAGTATTGCGTACAGAACACGAGATAAACACGTGGAGAGATCATAAGAGAAAAAAAACCACTGCAAATTCTTCATGATTATACGCATGATGATCAAGATTCATAATGCTGTCAAAGAAGAAAATATTTGCCGATTAATTTCCTGTTGTATCATACCACGGTTTTCATTTCTTGGTTTACAAAAGATATTACGTCTTAATGTCGTAGAAGTAAATTTCTTCATAGTAACAATCCCCCGCAACGTTTGCAAACAAAAATGTTTGACGAAAACCACGAGGCATGACGAGGTCTTGAAGCTTGAGCATGCTTGGTCACGCTTAGTCACATCCTTTAAATCTTAGTCGTATTTTAACACTTACGGTGACCTCCCGTCACGCCTTCATAGCAGGTCACACTTTGTAAATATTCGTCACTTTTCGACACATATGGTGATCCTTTGTCACGAGTTCACAGCAGGTCACACCTGGTCACGCTTGGGCACGCGTGATCAGTTAATCACGCTTCGGCACGCTTACGTTATGTTACGCAAGTCTCGAGTAATTTTGGCTGCTTTGCAATACGTTAGATTAAGTTTCGAAATGTTGGATTAGGTTAAGTTAGGTTAGGTTAGGGATAGGTTAGGTTAGGTTAGGTTAGGGATAGGTTAGGTTAGGTTAGGTTAGGTTCGTTTTGTAGACTTTGCTGTTCGGTTTCGTTTTGAGTATTTTTGTGACGTTTTGACACTTATGGACACAATTCGTCACGCCGTTACAGTTTGTCACGCCTAGTCACTCTTTATCACTAATATATATATATATAACTGAAGATAATGGAGTTGACACCAGCAGCGGTAGTTACGAATCGAGTGATATGCCAGAAGGCGATGGTCTGTGAGTCGTGAAGGAATTGGAATAGGACCGGGGAATTATAACTAAATCTGATTAAAATTAAAGTTTACTTCTTTATTTAGTCTTTTCCAGCCAAGATTCGAACCCGATGTTTTAAATATTAATCCTTATCAGAACCTGATGTAACATCAAATTGAAATTCTAAGTGACTGCAATGATAGTAAATTCTATTTTAGGTATGTCTTGTTTTACAACGCTGTTAACAGCTCATATTTCACAGCGTCGAAAGTCGAGGTTATTGAAAAATGAATTTCAAAGACGTACCGATCATGGCCTAACTTAATATCCCGAAATTTCCAGGAAAATTAAGAAAATCCACAGCTAAAACAGATGGGTATTTGGACGAAAGATTTAAACTCAGGACTTCTCGAACACGAAGCACGAGTAAGAGATTTGTTTTAATAGCGAGAGTAGTCGTTCAACAGTCAAAATACTACCTTTAACGTGCAAACTTCCGTAATTACTCACCGGAATGTTATTTGTTCCGTGACGAACCAACACATGTTTAAATGTGTCACTTAAGTCATCAACTGTTAGTTGTGTTTGAAGCGATAACAGTGACATCATTTTCAATTCCATTTTTCTTAAACTTTAGATTTTATGAACTGTTTACGAACATGCCTCTTGTACAGTCAAAGTTAAATAATTTTGAAAAAAAAATCCGTAACCAAACAGGACACATGTTTTCGTATGTTAAGATAATCTAAAAATGAAGGCATAGATTAATTTTTACGGTGTAAATATAATTCACAAAATTGTTTACAAACCTGATTCAAGCAGATACAAACAAAAAAACAACTGAACACTTATGGCCGTGACATACGGGTCAAACAGACTTCATATTTTCGTGACATGAATATGCAAATAAAATAAGAAAGAAATATTCCCGTGTCAGATTTTTCTACCTTACCAACAAACACCACTAACAGACATATTAATGACTAAAGAGAACCGGCTTCGAGACCAGTCTTTTCCTTGTGCGATGTTTTTTGGTAACTAGGGCAGAACGCTCCTTTCGGAGCTCCTCGGAGGGGCTGGTCAAGTTTTTAAAAAGCAACCAACCCCTTCGGGGGGTTAGGGGGTTGGTTGCGTTTTAAAATCTTGTGTAAGAAATTAACTAAACCCCCCGAATGGAGGGTTAAAACACTTGGTTGCGTTTTAAAATCTTGAGTAAGACACTAAACTCGGCATTGTTGTGTTCCACAACAATGCCGAGTTTGTTTATAGTTGACATTGTTGATGACGTAATTTATTGACGACGACGAAATCACAAATTTTTATAGTAGATTTCGTCTGACACTATTACCATTTATCGTCATTTTCATAGTGGTCAGATGTGTTATGATCACATGCAACTACGGGGTAATGAGGGGTGTGAATATTAATTTTTACAGGTCTACAGCGAAATAATGTTGGCCTCTAACTGGTCGTCAACGGTGGAACTTCCTGTTATCGTGGTTCACTAATGTCCCTCTCGCGTCTTCGATAACGCATTCTACAAATGTGTTGTTGCACTGCCATCAAAACAATGATTTGTAATCACCGTAATGTTGTGACAATGCAATTTTTAGGTTATCTGTCACAACTGTCCGCCCACCGTGAGCTAAGAAGCCCTCCGGACGAGACAAACTCCTTGACCCTTTTATTTGTCTAAAACAATTAGGATCTCTTTTCACCTTATACAGATTACTCCATTTCCACAGTCGGAAAATCGAAGTGTGTTAATCGATATTCTCTTTTCGATAAACAAATCTTTTCTTTTTAGTTTTATAATTATTTTGCACATCTTTATATTACCCTATATTTATGCACTGGACTCTACAGCTTTCGTTTTCTTTCTTTCTTTTCTTTTCTTTTCTCTCCTCTCTCTGTCTCTCTCTTTTTTTTAAAAAAAGTATCCATTTCCGTCAATACGTACAACTAAACTGCCGTTATAGGATCAACTGGTTTGCTTTCGGGCAGGTCACGTCGGAGGACAAATTGTTCTACTAGGTTTTCCACACCTCGTGCAAAAGCCGAATGATACAAAAGAAATAAATAATAATAGACAAGTCACGCAACCCATATTAAAATATCTATTGATGGTTTAAAATCAGTTTACGTTACGTGTTTCCGTTCCATCATGTCACGTGACTTATATTCTGGGAAAATTCAACAGACAACAATTGAGTTTTTAACATCCATAGGAAAAATCATTATAATAATGGCAGGTCTTAAAAAAGTCTCTTCTAAACACCTCTACCTAAGACGTTAAATATTCTCTCCCATATAAGTGAAATTCTTACTATGGAAGAATTTACTTTTTAATTTTTTGTATTGGTATTATATTTGTATCTCGTGTTAGTAGTCATATGTGACATACGGCACACCTTGGGTTATATACTACGAAGGATCCGCGGAATGTAAATACATTTTATCCTGTACCATAACATATCTTGTTCTTTATCTGTTGCTCGTGTGAACCGCCTACTTCCACTCGTTTAACTACGCGTACTCGGCCGACTTGAACTCCGTCAGTGCGACGATGACTTTCGATGCAGCGAGTCGCTTTGTCAATAGCTGAGTAGTGGTTTTTTTTTATTACAACGGTATAAACATTACTCTGTAAAGTCAGCTGTATATACGAAAAGTTCGAAAAAGAAGTTGGTGTTGTGAAAATGAATTAAGAGTTTTGTGCGTTCTGAATGATATGCTGGCGTATTGTGCACGGAATCGAAGAGATTTATCATCCATGAAGAGTGAGAATAAAAGGAACGAAGATGGCAACTTGAGCATTAAAACCTACACATACTCAAAACGTAGAAGGCCTCAATGACAACTTTTACACATCTGTAGTTTTCGTGAGAATTTCCCACTGGTTTCAATAACAAATTCTAGATAGTCTTTAAACATCCGTTAATTGGTTTGAGGTTATCGTTCGTCAACTTCCATTATTTTAGGCCTATTCTGCAAATATAACACGAATTTTAATTACGCCTTCAAAATGCCGACTGTGATATCAAAATACATTGATAATACTGTAGCTAAGTATAATATTCCCAAAGAACATTTTACTAGGAGTGTAGTGGCAGCGGTATTTTTTCTATATGGCCTAAAACTAGGATATCCATATATACAGTCATTATGCAAGAATGGTACAAGTACTGTTTCACAACAGAATGGTCATCCTTCAATTATCAGTAGCACAGCAGATGGTGAAAACTGTGTGGACTCATCGACAAACAATAATAAGGTACAAAATGGAAAATCTGTCATAAATGATGTTAAACATGACAATGTGGTGCTCAAGCGACAGAAGTCTCCAGGTGTTAACAAGGAATTTATATTACAACTTCAGAAGTTAGTAAAGTTAATGGTACCTGGTATATGGACAAAAGAAATTGCTCTATTGTCAATGCACACACTTGCACTGGCAACAAGGACTTTTCTGTCAATTTATGTGGCATCAATGGAAGGACAAATTGTGAAGTATATTGTGAGGAAAGATGTGAAAAATTTTGCTATCATGTTGCTGAAATGGTTGGGTGTTGCAGTTCCAGCAACGTTCATCAACTCTATGATTCGGTACTTGGAAAACAAGCTGGCCCTTGCTTTCAGGTGAGCTTTCTCCAAGTTGTTTGCTTTAACTTGCTTTCATTTTCATTTATGATTACCCCCATTTCTTCTCGGTTAAGTTCATAAATTACAATCTTAAAAGTATGAGGAATGCAATTCTCAAGAAACCTAAATACGATAAACAAATTTGAACTTATTTTGGCATGAAGATTGTCTTCTGGGTTGTTGTGCCATGTAGTCGCCCTGATGATGGAGGTAAGAAAGACCTCTGAAACATTGGTGGACAACTACCAGACTACACAGCGCAACAACCCAGAAGCCACTGTGAGAACCTCAAATCCTACTTTATTTGGCATGAAGTCACCAGTATTTAAGATCTTAGATCATCACTGAAAGCCTGTTGAAGAAATAAACCTACTCAAAGTCCATGGACTTCTGTATCTGACAAAATGATGATAAAGTGCAAAGTTCTACACTTGATTAGCCAGCTACAATAATGGTAAAAATGTGAGCTGAGATAAGATACTTGTTAAGTATGTGAACGTGAAGCTCACAGTAGCTTCCTGGAAACTCCACATATAATTTAATAATCCAATATATAATAATTATATCGGCACTGATATTTTTGCAATGTAATACAGTAGCACACACTGAATTTACATGGAGTATCACTGTACCATTGTTAATGCACAAAGTTTATTGGAAACCTAAATTTTTAATTGTTGATCAAGCAAAATAATCATGCTTTGGTTAAGTCCACTTATCTTGATAGATCGTCTGTATGTTACAGAACAGAGTAACGTTTTTTTAATGTCATTCCTTAAGTGTAATGTATTATCCTGAGAATAATGGTAATATTAACAACAATAAAAATAATAATATAACGAGATTTCTGCTGGACTTAGGTTCATCTTGGCAATTCAGACTTTAAGAATTGTCAAAGTTATTCTATGATGACTGTACGTTGTAGAGGGGAATGGTTTGGAAACTTCACACAATCTTAGATCTTCATGCTAGAATGAAGCAACAAGCTTAATGTATCCTGATAACCAGTGGTTAACGTCATTTCCTGGGTTGTGATACCATGTGTACTTGTAGATAGTTACCAACACGCAAGACCTGAAGATGGTTACACTCTCACTGTTAGGGGGCAGCCATGCGGAAAAGTAAACTGCTGCTATGATTTAAACTGTTCCATGGCATGTTTTATCGTCAGTATATTTTTTGAAGAGCTTTTACACCAAACAGAGAAGTAAAAAATTGAGGTTTAAAGGTAAAATAAATATGTGTCTGTGTACACACATGTGACGATCTGAAACAAGGAAAGAAGATGAAGTTCCAGGAATTAAAACGAGAAGCTGAGAATAGGGAAAACTGGAGAGCTCTTTTTGGGCAGAGCAATGGACCTGTCGTAAGACAGAACACTGAATAATAATAATAATAGTACACATGTAGGAATGGATATTGTATTTGTGTCAAAGTCCGAGCTTCGAAATTTGAGGCATTTCCTATAATCACTGACAAAGGTGTAGATGCCTGATACAGCTCACTTGCTGTGTTAGTGTGTGGAGCTATTGCTTAGTTTAACGCAGAAGAGATGCTTCGTTTTAAACCAGTTTTGGACAATTCCTGGGAGGATATTTTTTTCAAGAAATAAAACATTAAATGTCAGTGTGCTAGAACTTGAAAGATGTGAAGTGTGGGAGTTGGTGAAGGTAAGGTCACATTTTTCAAAGAAACCTTTAAATTGGCATTGTAACGAATTGAAGAATTACACGTGTAGAAGTTACAAGATACATTTTGATTGTATACTTATTTCTGTTTTAAAGAGTTCTGGTAAGATTTGCCATAACATAAACCTTGTTCACCACCAACAGGGAAATAAATATAATTTTATGCATTTTCCACATTATTTTGCATTCTGCAAAAAACATAATCTTGAATGTATTTTCTAAAAAAAACCTGCCCTGTCACTAACAGAGAAATAAATGTAATTTTGTGCAGTTTCCATATCATTTTGCATTCTAGGAAAAACAATTTTAAAAGTCTTTTTTATTACTACATCAAATTTAATGGTCCTCCATACCTGCATTAAATGGTATTTATGTTACTCTGTTTTGTAAGTTACGTAGCCATGTTGGTATTATTTATAAGTAATTAAAATTTTGTGGGAGTAACCCCATATAACAGTGTTTACACTAAGTTTCGTGACAATTATCTAAGAAAGTTCTTTATTAAATTGGAAGTTACACAAGAAACAAAATTGTGCCCCAAGCTTACCTTTTCTTGTAAAAAGAAGTCCTGTGAAGAACCTTTGCAGCGTTTACATGATGACGATTTGCGTATTATTCAATGCAGCATTTCCGGCCACTAGTAGAAGTATATTCCCAATTCATAGATTAGCGCGGCAGGAAGTTGGTATTACTGGTTTGCTGGGAATTGGTATGATAATGAGGTGCCCAGTAACCAGATTTTTAGATTTTCAAATAGAATTTCATAACAAAGTATGCCATACAGCTAGAATGCCTACGTGCGAGTTTTTTTTTCTTCAAGTTTCCACAGACACGGACACCAGAATTACTTCCGGTACTTTATTAAATAAATAAATATATATGAACTGCACTGAAATCATTGAATTGATGTTAGAATGGTACCACAAAGTTCACTGTTGATACATGCCCCCTAATTTTAGTACAGAGATTGAGAAAATGTTTGAATGGACCGGTACCATGATATAGCCAGTGATAGTAACAGCGACACACAGCATTCATTGTACGTGTATACCTGGACTACGCAAAACTTTCAAATGGCTCGCCGAACAGTTGTATTACAAAGAAACATTCGTTTTAAACATTATTCGAACAAGACTTACAAATGTTCACAGTTGACGCAAAATAACTGCAAGCTTCAGCTGTGTCACTGAAGAAGGAGAAAGGAAAATGGAATGGGCAAGACGGCAAAGAGTCTGAGCATGAAAAGTGAAACTGAAAGTGCATCCTCCCTTTTTAATATCGACACATTTGGTGGGATTTTCATTCACTGACTTTTGCACTACGCTCTATTTTGTGAAAAAAAGTCAGGTGTTTTCTTCTACAATAAAGTTAGTTGACATTTTTACTGCTGTAAATAAACGTTGAAACTTTTATAAATACAAAATTTCTCATAACTGGAGTCAAGAAAAAGTTAAAAATAAGCTTCCAAATAGTTTGTAAAAAAAAATTGCAAAATCCCAGGTATTTAAGGATATTAATAAAGAATAGTAGAGCTTATCATTAAATTATGACCAGAATAAACACTGGAGATTCTTCCTAACATTCCGTTCAGAACTTATTTATCCTATATTTCTCCATAAAAACTGAACTTGAACCTCATTGCATAATACCATAGGGTCAAATTTTGTTTGTTTCACAAGGAAAACAAAATTCTGAGGACAGATTGTGAACATAAGAAAAATGAACTAAACTAGGAATGAAGAGAAATGCATAAGAAATTTCTCACATAGTATTGTTTTGGTTATTAAAATCTTGACTGATGTTGCGTGTTGTAGCATATTTGGGCTGAACATAATGGTGTAATAATTAGCATGCCTGCTTCATATTTGGGAGGTATTAGGGTCAGATCTCACCTTTTAGACTGGTTATCCTAAGTCTTCCAGTCATATGTGAGGATAATACCTAAATTAGGCCACGAGGCACTTTCTTCCATATCCTTTTCAGTTCATTATTAATTAATTATCCTATAATTTGACACTACAATCCGAGCTACTGACAGCATTGTTAAATAACTCTCGAATAAAATAAAACAGACTTGGAAAGTCAACAAATTACACAACATTTTGATAGGTAAACCACATGAAAGGACATCAATTTGGACTGTGGACTTTATAGGACTTCGCTGCCTAGACATTTTCATTGTATTTTAAGGTCAAAGTGTCTTATTTTTGTGTTTCAGATCACGACTGGTGAGCCATGCATACAGCTTGTATTTTAAAAATCAAACATACTATAGGGTGGCAAATCTTGATGGACGCATCGAGAATGCAGACCACCGTCTGACTGATGACATAACCGCATTTACATCATCTGTAGCACATCTGTACTCTCATATCACCAAACCCCTCTTTGACTGTCTTCTGATAGCCATTGCGCTGGCGAGGACCAACAAGAAGATGGGTGCAGCCATCATACCTGGTAAGCAAATGAGTGTCCTTTATGATATCCGTTTATAAATTAATTACGAAACAAGATCGTTATATAAAGGCAGCTAATAGACTATATTTGGGCAAATGGTAAGTAAAGTAAAAAAGTAAAGATGGCCCACTATATGCTATGTAGGCACTTGGGGATAGAGTTATAGCTCCTACGCACTTTTAACCTTAACACTAGATAGAGGTGAGTGGTCAGTGTCATACCCTCGCTGTGCTTTACCCCTGGGAAAGGACTCTGGTACCCATTGGATGGGAGGCTGGGTGGGCCCCCCAGCACCAGTCTGGATACAGAGACTAGAGAAAAAATCCTCTGCCCCTACCGGGGATTGAGCCCCGGTTATTCAGTCCGTAACCTGACTGAGCTACCCTGGTTCATGGGTAAATGGTAACAAATCAAAAATCTAATTCATGAGGAAATTAGGAGCAGACTAACTCTGGGGAACGTTTCGTACATTGAGTTCAGAATCTTTTGTCTTCTTATCTGGTATCCAAAGACATGACTAGGTGATCATAGTGTTAGCTTCTCAAGAAGGACTTTTCTAATTGGAGTTAATTAGGTAATTAATTAACAGAATAGCCGGTTATCCAGTAGAATTCCGTTTGATTCACATTTATAACTCTTCAGTTTGGGAAACAGTTGTGTATCGGCTTAGTGGCAGAAATCCAGTGGTGAATGGCCTTCAGTATTCTAGAACTCATTCACCGCAGTAGTCGCAACAGTTTTACGTCAATGGAGGCAGTAATACTTGGCAATCACTAGTACAGGTTGCCCTTAAATTTGGAGTTCCTTCTTGAGAAACAGGTGGCATTGAGTTATAAATTAAAGATTAGTCTGAGAATAGTATGTCTATTGAAGAGGCTTTGTGTTTGTTATTCTGATATGTTATTGGTGATGAGAAAGGTCCTTGAAATAAGGTAAGATTCATTTCTTAATATTTCTTATCATCTTTAAATTCCATTTTCTAAAATCAGCAGTTCTCTCGAAAGTAAGAGAGTTGATATTTAATGTAGATTTTTCATTCTTTCAGCTCAATGACTAGTCTTATTTTCAAATATGCCTTGGCCATTTTTCTGTTTATACCAATATTATCTTCATCTTCTATGGCTCTCCGGTCTGTATTCGGTCCATGGCCTCCTCAATTCTCCTCTTCCATTCGGTCCTCTGTTTGGTCCGTCTGTCCGAGGCTCTGATTTTGGTTTTGAAACATCTTCCTGTCTTAGTCTGACCTCTCCCCCTCGACCAGTCTGGCTAGGGAGGCCCTACCAGTAGCTCTTGGGGACACTGAGGTACTCAAGCCCCACCACCACGACAAGGTGCAGGTACCATTAAGTGGGGTCCAATATTATGCTGCGTATAATTATGCGTCCAGTTCAGTGCCACATGACCTCTTAGTTTAACTTGATGTAGCAGTTTGTGTTTCCAGTGCATAACCAGCTGACTGATTGGAAACAGAATCCTTAAATAAACAAATTAAGTTGTGGACGAGTGCGCATTGGATCTGTAAATAAACAGATTTCATAAGTTGTAGACTTTGAAAATTATTTGCGTGTAGAGTGTGATGAACACCTTCAGGATACACGTTAAAGAAGTCGTAATTATTTGAGTATGTGTGTCGCATGTATTTCAAGTTTGTTTCCTGAATAGAAAAATCCCTCACATTCTGAGCCTCTTATTTTTTATTTTTTTTTATTTAGTGTTCTGTCTGCCTCTTATATGACATGATAAATGATCCATGGGAGTCCATATTTAGATCATGCTTTGCGAGTGTTCAGGAACACCTAGTCGGTATTCGGAGTCTGGGTTTAGAGACATCCAAATTCTTTGGCACTTTCAACTTTCTTCATAGGACAGAGATGGAACATGAGAATAGGTAATAAAACCTAACTTATAGTTCATCAGTTTCTGTCAGTTTTGTACTGCCGAGTCCTCCGTTATCATATTGACATTGCTTTGAACTCTATGAAGTATACCCATTGGAAATGGTTATGTTTGTGGCCAATAATTGCTTTTTGACATGTAGGTAATAGTCTACAGTTAAGGTAAAATGGAAGAAAACTGTGCATACCAAATATAAACACAGAAAAAAAATTTCCTCAGTGTTAAGATTAAAATAAATTAACATATAGGTATTAACGATGAGCTACGGGCTGGACGACCGGGGTTCGATCCCCGACTGGCGCAGAGGATTTTTCCCTCTAGACTCTCCGTCCAGACCAGCTCTGGGGCGCACCCGGCCTCCTATCCAATGTGTACCGGGATCCTTTCCCGGGAGTAAAGTGCTGCCGGGGCGTGAGCTGACCACTCACCCCCATCTAGTGCCGAGGTCAAGAATGAGTAAGAGCTGTACGGTCTCTCCCCCCAAGCGCCTACATGGCGTATAGTGGGACAGCTTTACTTTACTTTTATAGGTATACGTGTAACAAAATTGGTGGGGTGAGACTCTTAAAATGAAAAGAATAACCACAAGTTGTTAGTTTAGTAATGGTGTGTGACACACGGCTTTTGAGACGGTGTGTACGGAGTTATTATAAATGCAGTGGAAGTTCATGATGGTCCTGATGAATGAGATGAATACACAATAAGTAGCCAGCAGCAGTACCTGACAGAAGCAATGTTAATGTCTGGGAGTAGGCGGTGTAGCTGCATTCTGGGAGTTACGCAATTTTGTATTCTTAGTGGTTTTCATGTACTTTGGTGTAAATTGTAACCGAATTGTGTACTGATGTAATTTGATCCTTTATGCCATTCGAGCAAGTCTCCTTTTAATCTGTGACTTGCCTTACCAGGAATATTTTATGAATGCTGTCTTATGATTACAAAGATGGCTGTCTTCTGGGTTGTAGCGCCGTGTGGTCTGAGGTTTCCTAATTTTTTTTTGTGTCCCCATTGTACTCTCATATCCGTATCCATTTTATTGCAGTCTGTTTAATTTTCCCAAAAATTATTCTGTAAAAGAAAATGGGATTTTTTCTCCCAAAAATATGTAATTCGTTTAACGAGGGTAAGGTCCAAAATAGCATAACGCTGCTTTGGTGAAATGTCCTGAAAGTAACTAAAGGCATTCAGGATTTATTGTTAAGTTTGTATGACCTGTTTTGCATACATTATGTAACGGAGACATTTCTTGGATGTAATATATGAGTACTGTGATGCCTATGATGAGAAATGTCGCCAGCTTCTCATTCTGAGTGATCTGTAAACATTATGAATTGGCTAAACATGAGGTTACTTATGCTGTAACAGCTACAGTGCTAAATTATATGTTAATATCTCATTTGACAACTTTAAAAGGATAGGAGAGGAAACATTCATTGCCTGGCATTCACTTAGAGGAACTGAGGTAAACTACAAAAAAGAAACTCAGGATAGTCTGCGGTTTTTATCCGAGATTTGAAGTGGGCACCTCCTGAGTGCAAGTCACAAATATTACTACTTCAGCCCAACTTGCTGAGTCTATTAAACAGTATACGAGACAGTGAAGTAATTGTATGTAGGTAATTTGTGTTTTAATGGTGTGAATATTTTAAATTCGTTTAAATATTTATGTATACATAATTGAAAGTAAATTGTGTGATGTTTTGAATGCACTTGAATATTTATGAAAATGTTAACGTTATAATGCGTACATATATTAGCGAATGTCGTTCTCACATTTGTTCAACTTTCTCAGTTACACACGCATTATACAGTATGACAGTCTGGTAATTCACGTAGGGATTACTCAGAGAGTAAAGTTTGGCGTTTGTGCTGTGTGGTTATGGTCGTGATGAAAGCCATGTAACTAGAATACTTTCACAGTTACCAGGGAAGTACTAACTCACTCCATGGAACACAGACTTTCGTGAAAAGCTAATGGTTTGTTCAAAAGAAATTCCATATTTTTTTAAACCCAAATGTCCATTACCTTGTTCAAAAAGCCTGCCAACAGGTTCAGATGACTCTAATCTACATCCCAGAAAATATTACCCTCCCACCTGTGCCTAGGTCTTACAAATGATCTTTTCTCTTCAGGCTTTCTAACCAAAATTTTGTAAGCATTTTTTATCTCCCTCATCTTGCTACCCCATCCATCTCATCACCATAATAATATTTGGTGAAAAAATTATGAAGCTCCTCATTATGCTGTTTTTTCTGTTCTCCTGTCACATCATCCTGCTTATGTACAAACATTTCCCTAAGCTCCCTCTTTCTACACTCTTAATATGTTTTACACTTAACATGAGAGGTCAGGTTTCGCATCGTACATTGCAGTGTACTTCACTGCATTAACAGTAAATAAAGTAGACTAAGATGATGTGTTGAAACTTGAATGGTAAGTTTTTGAAGTATGAGTCTAGAAGAGTTTTAAAAGGGATAATTGGTAATCAGCCAAGTGATGACTTTCATTTCCTTTTGTCTTTTTTTCCTAGCTATTTATATGTTGTTACGTTAAGATGAATATTGGGTGGGTACATTATACAGTAGAAAGCATTTATATTTACAGTCTATTAGATCAGTAGTATTCAACCTGGGGTACGCGAAGACATCTTAGAGGGTACGTGAAATTTAAAAAAATATATTATTTTATGATAAACACTGAATAATCAGTAACGTAATTTATTTAATTTATTTTAGATGTAGATTATATACTGTGTATAACTTGAATTATACACCAACAACTTTGGGGGTACATAGTTGAAGAGAAATTATATCTGGGGGTACGAGAAGACATCTTAAGGGGTACGTGAAATTTAAAAAAATATATTATTTTATGATAAACACTGAATAATCAGTAATTTATTTAATTTATTTTAGATGTAGATTATATACTGTGTATAACTTGAATTATACACCAACAACTTTGGGGGTACAAAGTTGAAGAGAAATTATATCTGGGGGTACGCGAACAAAAAAAGGTTGAATACCACTGGACTAGATTACAAAGGAATGTTCTGTAGTCACATTTGTTTTTCCTCAAAGCTGTGATATTAAGAGTGTACTCTGTTGAGTCTCCTGTTACTGAATTATGT